TATGATCATAAAGAGAAAATTTAAAAATGTTCTGACCACCTTAAGACTATGCTTCCAAAAACACCAACATTGTTTCATATTCAATCCATTTCAATGTCCGTTGTTTGTTTCTCAATGCTGCCAGACATCGTACATACACACACACTCAACACACAACTGTCCATCCGTAAGTTGTATGTTGACAGACCATTTCTCCATCTGTCCATTTGTTTGCTCATTTGAACATGCATGTAAAGCCGAAAGGATGTGACTTTCAACAAGTCCATTCATTGCTCCTTCGTATAGACGTCGTTCTTGTTATTATTATTATTATTAAGTTCTATTTGCCTTTTGTATTTGCCTATGTAAACATTTCAATTGAGCAATCACATGAAGACGACCATAGCATGGGCGGAGAAATCATCAGCATCATCATAGCAGTCGTCCAAGTATTCATAATCGTCAACTTCAACAAATTGGATTTGGAAATGTCAAAACAGTTATAAGTTCACATTAAAGATGACCAAGTAGTGTTTCTTGATGTTTGAATGGTACATAATTCGATATATTTATGTGCTTAAAATAAAGTAATATTTAAGTGAGATTATATAGTTAATAGTTTGTTTATATGTTTCTTCTAACTTCATAAAAGAACATTTAACAATACAAATTCCCAAAAAATGCAACATTTTTTAAAGTTCCATATCAGAAAAACCAAACCTATTGTTGCTTGTGGGCAACATTTATAACAAATCCGATTACAATATTATAACAAAACCGATTAAAATATTTCACGATTTAGAGTTAAGATATAAAACAGGGCGGAAACCACTAAATATATACTGATTTCAATATAAAAATCAAAAGGACTGTTGGACATGAACAAAATGATATTGCAATTAAAAATACTTCAAGAAGGGACAAATAAGATAATGTAAAAACGTTGGAGCAATAACAAAACATGATCTTCTATTGAAAAAAAAAAAAAAAACATTTGGTGAAATAAGTTCTACCAAATTATAAATTGTTATGTGCTTAGGCCTCCATTGAGGTTACAGTTAATACTTTTTATTGACATAAACTTAGTGGCAAATATTTTTTACCAACCTTATGTTTATACAATACTGATAAGGCAAAACAACGTTTGGCGGGTCAGCTAGTTACTTATATATCTGCGCCTCAAAGTATGCTACATTTTTGTCAATATTTTGGTATACGTTGTTAGTGGATCAAATAGGTTTACATAAGGTGAATTTTAATAAAAAATACCATTTAGATGGTCTAAATTATATTGTACATCTGTTGTGTATAACAAGTACAAAACATTTTACAGAAAAACTACAATTTCAATTGGTTTTATACGAAAATAGTTAAATAATTTGTATTTCCCAGAAAAAATAAAAACACTATAAGTAATATAATTGATAAGGTTTTTAAAATTAGAAAATCTCCTAAAATCCAGAAAGCTAACCAAACAGTGCTTAATCCTTTTCCCGCCTACATAAAATTTGTATTTATGTCAAAAATTTACTCGGCGTTCGGAATTTTGGAAAGTCAATATTATATATGTAACTTTAAGCGGGTGCATGTCAATCACGTTTTTATATTTTTGAAAGGACAATAATTCTTCATTATTGTCATTTTATTATTTTTAAAGAAATTCAAAAAGTGTACCAAAATTTGGGATACAGAATTTTAATCCTACCATCGATAGGAGTGATTTTTTTTAAACCTATACCGAAATTACCGAGTAATGTATTATTTACCTAAGTTCAGTCCACATTAACGATTGTAATATGTGAAAATATTTATACAAATATCTCCTAATAAATTTGATTTACAATAAATACGCCTTGGTATTTATTGTAAATCAAATTGTCAGAATATATTAGGATCTCCACTATATTCACAATATATATTTCGAATGAACACAGGTTCATTTTTAATTTTATCATTTACCGCTATAATACAACAGTATGTTTATTTAGGGAATGTGGTTAATGTTTTTATATATTTTCCGAAAAATGCTACGAACATTCCTAATATTAAATTTCAGCCATTACCAAATAGTTTTCTATAACAATAATGTTGTTTTTGTAATATAATTAGTTGTTGTAATTCAGGTATACACCTTAATAAATACACCTTGATTAAAACAAATTGCACTATTCTGAAATACTCAAATAATTAAAAGAAGATATAAAGGTTTTTTTATTATAGTGCTGGCGTAATATATAATAAAATATAATAATATAATAACAGACAAGTTAAGGTGGCTTTTATAGACCAGAAAGTGTCGATATAAAACACCTGGAGGTCTTTAAATAGAACTAGAGATCTACATATTGGGGATGTTGAGGTTTTTATTAAAGAGCTGCCCGTTCCCTTGTAGGAGAATTTGCGGTAATATAGTCCGATTAAAGATGGTATTTATAGACACATTAATTTACTATCTGAATAGAGACCTGCTGATGATGGTCTTTATAGACTATCTGAAAATGGTGTTTATATACCACCTGAAGATGATCTTTATAGGCCTGTTGAAGATGATTTTTAATAGATCATTTATTTTAGAAGAGATAGAAGAAGATGATGTTTATCTCACCCATAAAAAAACTGAAGACTTCATTCCAGTATTTTCATTTATTGTTCTTAACGGCATTTACGTTAGAACCTTTTACCCGGCTAACTATGAAGCTTTATTTGACATATTTGTAACGGAATTGACAATTTAAAGTAAAGGAACGAAAAATAGTTAAAACATGAAGAAACGTCAAAATCAAAAATTTCATTTGTTAAGGACCAAAATAAGACTACAGAAACCTAACGCACAAAAAAAACAAAAAGTTAAACGGCGTCCATTGCGTGATTTTGATATTATAAATATTTATTGTTTATTTTTTTATTTGTATAATTGAGAGGAAACCCTTATCGAATATTTGAAAGTGGAGTTTCCGACGACTCCGAGCCCGGAGAGGCTTACATAGCTGGACGATCCCATAATGTCAATGCTATTGAAATTGGTAGATATTTTGCGAACTAGAACAACAAGATATGGAACAAGTTAAGTTTAGGGGCTCCAATCGGATCATTTTGAAATGATTACCGTAAGTAGCCCTCCTTGTGCGGATCACAGTGATATACATTTCATGTGGGAAACTGCATACTTCCCGAGATATTGGCCTTGAAATTTCGGAACATATTTTGTTTAAAACAACCCTTTTTCTACTGCCACCAAGGCAATATGGGTATCATTAAAAGGATATACCGGGTATTTTTTAAGAGAACTTAAGAATAAGACTTTCACATATGGACAGGCTCATACATGGTTACGCAATATATTCTTCATCTAGTTATATAACACAAACCATAACCTTTAAAATGATACGGCTAATTAAAACAACATACTCTCCGAACTTTCAAGGCCCATATCTCGGGAAGTATGCATTTCTCCCCATATCACGGTAATCAGTTCACCGAGGACTACTTACTGTAAAAATGTCAAAGCGATCCAAGTGGAGTCCCTAAACTTGTCTTAAGCCCAAGATATTTTGGATATTTTGGTACGATTGACCAACCCAAGTCTTCATTCTATAGTATCTTCATCTGAATCTTCTGCCATCCATTCATCTTCATTCAAAAAAGTATAAAAAAACTGTTTGTCCATTTTTAAATTTCTTATTTGTTTTTTTTTTTTTAAGCAAATGTATGTGCGTGTGTCCCTTTTGTTGAAGCCCTAACTTTCATATGCTTTATTTCAGACTGTAATCTCTGGCAATCAAATGTCAAATTCATAATTTACTACATTTACTATTTCGTGCTAGGCCAAATTGGTCTTGCAGAAAATAGGAGAAGAGAACGCCATTTTGGTTCTAACTCTCTTAAATTTAACTTCAATTTTTCCTACTTTTCGGCGTCAGGAAACGCTTTTCTAGCAACAATTGCAAAACTAGTACAATATAGTACTATATTGCAGGTTTGGGAACACAGCTAATATATAATGTTTTATATTTTTCATTATATTACAAAAATGCAAAAAATATGTAGGGTCACATTTTCTCAAAAGTGGTTGTGTTTATTAGATTTTTTTCAACACATAACTAAAAGCGCGAAAAATGAATGAAATGTTAGGATTTCTTTCCAAAATCCAGTAGGGGTTTTTTCATCCATTAAGTACATTTACATATACGATTTTAAATAGACTCTATTATCGAAATCCAGAAATACACCCTAATTGTTTACATATATCTTTGATCATGATCTAAATGCCGATCAGCTGATGTTTGTCAGTATACATACACAATTATTAATTTGCGCCAAAATATTTGTTTGAAATGGAAAATGAAAGAAGAATTGTAACAATGGAAATGTTTTTGCAATGCTGTGATCGTTTGAAAAGTAAAAAAAAATCTATAAATAATTTTTATTTTCTTTGATTTTCATTTTTGTATTGTAACATGTGAAAACAGTTGCAAATGTTGGTACATTGTGTGAGAGATGTATTTCTTCGTATAAAAACCGCGTTACATCTCAGTAGTATCATGATTTCGATCATGGTTTAAATGATTTAAATCTGTATGATAAATCATGGTAAAATCAGCCTGATTAAGAAAATAAACCCTGATTCGTCCCTTAATCATGATCAAATGTTATATATATATATATTTCTCGCGTTTTGAGTTATGTGTTGAAAAAATGACAAAAAATACACAACTACTTGTTTCGTATATTTATTTTATATTTGGCAGAAGAAACCACCACCTAAATAGTTGCTTTTTGTTATTTACCTCAAGCTGCTCTACAGAATGTTTTTTTAGCTTCATATTTTACCAGGTATGGTACTATTTTCATTTAAATGTATGCATTAAATAAATAAAATATCGTCTCTTTTTTACTGCCACAAAAATCGCGCCGTTTCCATTTAATATATCCATCCATGTGAACCCCCTTATGTTGTAAACAAAAATCCACACAATACACCATTCGCAATATCAACCCTGCGCAGTAGCCATCATCTGTCAGTTTACCTTCCACACTGAATTTTTCTGACTGCCACCGTGTGGATTATATTCTACATTTCATTTTCAACTTTCTTTCGTGGCATCAATAGTTTTTTTAATTTTCATTGAGGAACAAAACAATTGATAAAAGCGGTAGGTGGAAATAGAGTGTTAATTGAACGTCAGTGACAGAAGTAGAAAAAAATTGTGTGTGTGCATGAAATTTTCACAAGGAAAATTTATTTTTCTAAATTTCTGAAATACAATTGTTGTTTCTAGAACATTTGACGGAGTTGCTGGAGCGAGCAAGAAGTCACACACGGGCAACGGAACAAAACGGGAAAAAATACACAGAAATAAGATGCGAAAAACGCATTGCTCATTAGTGCTTTTATTAGCGGCGGCATTGTGCCTTTTAATTGGGCCAACTATTGCCAGTGAAGCAGAATCAAATTTCGACGACGATGATGGAGTCGTTGAAGCAGTTCAGGTGAGTGAAATCCGCAAACAAAAAACATAAAAAGCGTTATGCCACAACAGTTCATCTTGTGACCCAATTGCATATTTTCACAATACCGGTCGGACGGTCAGGCAGTCAGTCAGTCATTTCATCAGCAATGGCTAAAATATGCATTTCTGCTGTACCAATGTTGTTCTCTGCTCTGGCATAAGTACACGTCAGTGTTTGGTGATTTTATTTCCACCTCAAATTATATGACGGTGGTTGCCCTTTATTGTTATTGTTGCTAATTAACTGAAAAGGTAGATAGTTTTTTCAGTGTGAATTAGAATTTCATATAAGTTTTCCCCCAAAAATGCGTGTGTGTTTTTGATCCACATTCTATGGATTAATCAATTAACACTCTTTTTTTGGCTTTGGTGTTTCTTTTTTTAGTTCATAGTAAATTCCATTTGATGATGTTCGTTCATTGAACTGCTTTTTTTTTGTTAATTCTTCTGTTTTTTATTTTCATCCATCGATGGCGGGTGACAGTGCATGAGGGTGTGTGTATATATATGTGTGGTGTGTGTGTGTTGTGCGTGAAATTCATTTGTGGGGTTAAGGGTGACATAACCTCATTTTTGTTGTTTGTTTTCTCTTGTTAGTTGTTGGTACGAAGTGCATGTTTCGATTCTATGAAGAAGACAACAACTAGTGTTGCCAGATTAGTGTGTATCTGATGGGTTTTGATGGTTGATTTTAATTTGTGGGGAAATAAATTGTTAAGTGATTAATAAAAGGTTCTGTAACTAATTATTTATTTTATTTATAGTAAAATGAAAATATTTTCCGTCTGCTATTACAAATATGGTGTCAACTTTGATAATTGTGGAGAGTTAATCTTCTGGTTTCTCTTTTCTAACGAATAGCAACCGATTTAAAACGCAATCAAAATATTGGAGTCAGAGATGATCCTTCAAAACCTCAGTATGTGGTTTTGTGGAATACTGAATTTCATTTGAAAATAGTTTACTATCTAGATTTTAAAGCAGTATAGCGGCTATTGGCCTAAAGGCTTCGTTATACATGTTAAGATTGAAATAAATAAATATAGGTTTTACACCAATTTTTCTTTGAACCAAATCCGTTTCAGAAAATTTGGAGTCGATTTAGAAATGTCCGTCTGTCTGTCTAGCCGGCTGGAATGCACGATACCTCTCGAAGGGATTTCATCCAAACTTTGAACAGTCATATTTCTTTCACACGCCGTTCAACTAAGAAGATGGGAAATATAGGTTCACGTCTTTTGATACCTCCCACACAAAATGGTCAGAATTCTGCTAAAAATAAATTTTAAATCATCATCCAATTTAAAACAAACTTTGTACAACCTATTATCTTCACCATGTCTAGATCATCTTCGAAAATGGGACCCATTGGTTCACTCCTTCTGGTATCTCCCACACAAAGGGTCATCATTTTCAATATTGATAAATTAAATATTAGGCAAAAATACTGTCCGATTTGAACCAAACTTTACACAACCTATTACATTTACAAAGCCTAGATCAAGACCCTCCGCAAACCATAGACTGATATTTTGCTTCAAAAATACTTCAGTTTGACTCGACAAAAATATCTCCCTAATATTCGTTTTTACTGACTTGCGGCAGTTTGCCAGGTTTTTGGACCTCATATAATTGCTTCATATTAGTCCAATCGTTCCATGTGTATTATAAAGTTGTTCTATCCAGTTTTGTTGCGGGACAGAATAATTAACTCAATTAACTCGTTATGATTTGTTGGGCAATCATAGCTAAAGGCAAACCATTCAACGCACCTGTTGATCAGTCCTTTCAAAACCATTATCCAAACTGTCAGTCACAAGATGATGGTGGGAGCGATTTCTCAACAATATCTCTTGGGTTGTCCGATCCGCAGATGTTACATATAATTTGTTGACTTAAACACCCTGGTGGAAATGATTTTTTTATGCAATTTCGAATTATTTTCGCCCATTTCAAGTACCATGCATTTCTGCTTTCTACAGTCATGCTATCTGAATTTTTCAAGTCTTAACATCCGAGCTTTTTCACAAAAGGTTGTAGTCGGGACAAGGATTGGCATGATGCATTGGTTTTACTCCTCACATTACTACTTGTAATTATTCCCCCAAAATCTGTCGGACCACAATTGGCTTCTATACGAGTCTTCCAAACTGAGAGATTTACCCCTTTTTCAGTATTAATTGATATATTATAGGTCTACGGAAAATCCGGATAATTTTCAATTGAATTCTGTGTATGTTCTCATTTTTTCGGATCAAATTTGTTTAACAAATTTTGCATGAACCAAGCATAATAAATAAAATATTGGAGTTGGGATTCAGTCTGACTATTTTGCAAAAACAAAATACAAATGGTATTCCAAAAACGGAAACACCAAATTCTACATCCACTATTTTTAAATTCTTATGTTATGATTCAAATATGTATAATTATAATACATTACTTATATTTATATTTAAAATATTGTGCTGCTGACCACAAAATACCACCGCATTTTCTTCAATGCGGATGTGTGGTCATAATTTTTGAACCCTATTTTCTGTAGTAAAATGCCATTACATTCTGTTCATTACACGTTTCATTTTGATATTGCAACCAACATGTGAATGTTTCAATTGCATTCAATTAGATTTAATATTTTCCTATGATTGCATTTCTGTGGACTTTTGGTTCGTTTTGTACCCCCATAACAGTTGACCCATGGACATTAGACAAAGAGATAAACAGATATTAAGTTGGTTTTTTAAAAATATCAAATGGCGGTGGTATACATGTCAATCTTAATTAAATGTTTCCCTTTTTCTGCGATATGGACAAAAATGATTTGTTTCTATGCGGTATATTTTGTTTCGTTGTTTTTGTATGGTGGTTAATCTCAATAAAATAAAACAAAAAAATTAAATTAAATAACTTGAAACGCATCGATAAGACTACGCTATCACTAGTTAAAATTGGGTCAAAATAGAACAACAACTACAACAACAAAAAAATATAATCACAGAGTGAGGCCATTAACACCTGTTGTTTTTATCCACACCTTTTTAGACACCTACATTCTCTTTGGCTATACAATTTTGTAGCAAGCAGCACATTGTAGATTGAATTGATGTTTTAGGCAGCAAGGCAAGGAACAACACGTACGTACGTGATAAAAGTGTAGACAAAGTTAAACAAAAATCCCTCGTGCCACCCCATCATTTGTTGCCGATTGCCATGTTTATTTTTTGCTGACTTTTTATAACGTGACAATTGTTTTCTATCTTCTCCATTGTCATAGATAAAAAACGAACAGAGATATACTAATCCAAAAACAAATATTTGCAGAAATTAAACTAAAGGAAATTTTAAATAAATAATTTTTTCTTTTTCTTTTCTCGTTTAACACAGGATGATACACCCGCCTTAGCCACCGATGAAAATGGTGAAGAATTAGTGTACGAAAGTCCTAAATATGATCCTAAACAATTCCATTTTGTCGATCATTTTGACGACATTGAAAAATCACAAAAGTTATGGGTAAAATCTCAGGCAAAAAAGGATGATATCGCAGAGGAGATAGCCAAATATGATGGCGTCTGGAGTTGGGAAGCACCCCAACGTATTGTCTGGAAGAATGACATTGGCTTGGTATTGAAATCCAAAGCCAAGCATGCAGCCATTGCTTCCAAACTTTTGAAACCATTCACATTCAAGGAGGATAAGCCTCTAATTGTACAATATGAAGTTACATTACAGGTATGTTTCAATTAGTGTGTCTTCTTGGGGATTTCCTTTTACATATTTTTCTTTTTGTGTTTTCTCTTTTTGTCACTTTTCAGGAAGGTCAAGAGTGCGGAGGTGCCTATATTAAATTACTTTCAGCAAACAAAGCCACAGATGACCTTACTAAGGTTAGTATCCTTATGGGCTACAGCAGACAAACAATTCCTTAATCTTTTATGTTTTATTAATTTTCTTTTGTTCTTGTTATGTCTTTGTAGTTCAATGACAAAACTCCATACACAATTATGTTTGGACCTGACAAGTGTGGCAATGACATAAAAATGCATTTCATTTTCCGTCACGTTAATCCCATTAATGGCAGTATTACTGAGAAGCATTGCAAGAAACCAAAGTGAGTTTTCAAAAAATCGAAAAAGAAATAATATGAACCTACTCAAGGAACGATACAAATTTTAAAGCAATATTCCTTGGAGTCTCTTTAAGTCCTTGTGGAATGTTTATTTTTTATCGTATTCAATTCTGAAAGTTTTATTAACTTGTGTATTTTTCTTATTTTCGAAAACAGAGACCGTTTGGAAGAACCTTTCAAAGACAAATTACCTCACTTGTACACATTGATTGTACGTCCCGACAACACATTCGAAATTCGTGTGGATCATAATATCATTAATGAAGGTTCTTTGTTGACTGAATTCACACCACCTGTTAATCCACCACGTGAAATTGATGATCCCGAGGATAAGAAACCTGAGGATTGGGATGAACGTGAAAAGGTAAATATTTCTTTTCGAAATTGTGTACAGTGTCATGGTTTTTAATACATTGTTATTACGATTTAGATTCCAGACCCCACTGCCCAGAAACCAGAAGATTGGGATGATGATGCACCACCACAAATTCCTGACCCAAGCGCTGTTATGCCCGATGATTGGTTGGAAGAAGAACCAGAAATGATTCCAGGTGGGTTAAAGAAAGTATTCATTAAATTACAGCCAACCGAACTGTTGGGGAGGGTTTGATGTATTTAGTAACACATATTTAAGTTGTTGTGGAAGTCCAAGGAGGATATCACACATTTTCTTTCGTTTGCAATTTCATAATGATGAAATAATGATCATTCTCGGGTTAAAATCAAATCGAGTGATTTATTATTACTTCGTTTCATTTCATATAAAATATTTAATTCAATATACATTTTTACGGGTTTCTAGCAATAGAATCCTTCGTATATGTCTTAAAATCCCCTTTAATTTAATTTGCTAAACTTTTATTAATGTTACTTTATTTCATTTATTTCTAGATCCCTCCGCCGTTAAACCCGACGATTGGGATGTTGATATGGATGGCGAATGGGAAGCACCTTTGGTTGATAATCCTGTGTGTGAAAAGGTCTCTGGTTGTGGCAAATGGAAGGCTCCATTGATTGCCAACAAAGAATACAAGGGCAAATGGCGGGCACCTATGATTGATAATCCCAACTACAGAGGTAAATGGTCTCCACGCAAGATACCCAATCCCGATTTCTTCGAAGATTTGACTCCCTTCAAAATGACACCTATTGTAAGTTTACTTGATAAATCTCAAACTATATCTATAATTAAAATTTCTTTTGATTTTATTTTTTTATTTATAGGGCGCCGTTGGTATCGAATTGTGGTCCATGTCCAATGATATTCTTTTCGATAACATTATCATTACTGATGATTTGGATGTGGCCATTGATTATGCTGCCAAAACATTTGATTTGAAACGTAAATACATTGACAAAGAATCGGTAAGTTTAACATTATAAACGACGAATATATTGAACTTTTTAATTTCAATACAAATTTAAATTACCAAAAAAGAAAACCTATTGGCATCGTTTGATGCGTCACATGAACTACAAACCCGGATGGTGGGCTTTGTATTTCCTTTATTGTTCCATACCAATTGGTGGTTACATCTATTATTTATATCGTCGTGCCTGTGAAGAAGAGGTTATCATACAAAAACCCATTTTTTCCAAATTTTAATTAGACAACTTATTGCCAGACGCCAAATTGTATTTAGATTTTGTATTGTATTTAGTAGCGCTTTTATGTATCCAAAATGTTTTGATTTTATGGCACATTTTTGTTTTGCTTCTTTTCTCCCACTCATTTTCTGGTATGTAGGATACATTCTTGAATAAGGTCATGCAATATGGTAAAGACAATCCATGGTCATGGCGTATTGCTTTAGTATTGATTGTTACCCCCTTGGCATTCTTCTTCTATCGCTTAATGAGCGGCAAAAAGGTAAATAATGCTAGATGTGTTAATTTTTTGCTAGCAAAGAATTTGTTGTAGAAATTAGATTGATAGTTTATTAACGTGGTTTTATTTATTAATTGAAAAAATAACAGGACACCACTGCTACAGACAAAAAGACAGATGCTGTACAACCAGATGATAAACCATCAGACAACAAAGAAGACTCAACAGAAGAATCTAGTCCAAAAACGAAAAAGTCTGATTTAGATGTTAAAGATGCAGCCGATGCCGCAGATAATGAAGAAGATAGTGGTAAAGATTCCACCGAAGATGTTGATGGTGGAGCTTCTGAAGAAAAAGAGACTGAGGTAAGTTGGCTTTTTTATTTATCTAGTTAAGAAACAATTTCTAGTTTGTGAAAAAAAATCAATCAGAATTCAGACTGAAATTACTTTTTTGAGACCTACGACGACCGACGTAACAAAACTATAACAAAAAGACGCTAATACAGCTTATTTTTTACATACAGTGAACTCTCGATAATGTGAACTCAAACTGATATTTATTTATTTATTCGATTCCTTTGCAATGTAAGCCAATTTACAATTCATGAGGCCAATTTAATGTTAATTACAAAGATTCCACCTTATTTCATAGCTACTCAGTATAGACTTATGCATGCGTAATACTTATATTTATATATATATAAAAAAAAACATGAAAAATAATAATTATAATTTGTACTAGACTCAAATATAATAATATATTAAATCATTACTACTAAATTAAGTCGCTACTTATAAATAACAATCATTGTTTATTTATACAAATTTATTTAAAAAAAGGGAAAATAAATTTAAAAAATTTTAAATGATAATCAGTTTCTGCCATAGACCAATAATAAAATAAAGTTTGTTAAGAAAAAAACCATCAATCCATTACGTGGTTTCAGAGAAATATAGAAGAAGATTCTTTTTATAAGCAGTATCTGTAACGAAACACTTTTAGGTTATCAGGAAGTAGATTGAATAGTCTTGATACTCTAACGGTAAACGATTCGTTCATGTGAGGTCCTATTCTAGGCATGATTAATTGATTCACACGAACTGAATGAGAAAAATTAAAAAAGTTTATTAAAAACTGTGGTGACTGTTGTTTATATACTTTGTAAAATAATAACAATAGTCTATAGTTGACAAAACAAGGGAATGAGCAACCCAGAAAACATCGAACATAACCGGAAATGCGATCAAAAGGACGACGAGAATACAGATATCGAACTACTCTGTTAAATGCAAGTTGCAATTTTGACATTTGTCTTGCATGTGTGCACGAATATACTTCTATACAATATAAAATGTTTGGCATGATTAGGACATGTACAAGTCTCTTTTTTTCATGGTAGGGTAAAATATTGCAAAAATTTTAAATGTCAACTACCCCGACTTTATCGAGAGTTCACTGTTTGTGATGTGCAAATTATTGAGAGTTTACTGTGCTTAATAGTTTTCGCAAATAATCCTTTCTATAAACTAATCCTATTTTCTTTTCTTTTTTATTTTAGGAATCCACTACAACTAAGCCACGTAAACGCCGTGTGCGTAAAGATGCATCCTAATTGTCATCATCCCGCAATAATTTAAATTATATTCATTAGCAATTTTCTCATTAATTTTAATGATTTCTAAGAAACATTTTTTTAAACAAAACTATTCCAAAAACACGAAAACAACAATTGCAGTTGAAAATGAATGGGGCAATTGTTGTTTGCAATTCCAAAAATAAAAAACACAACTGAAGAGTGAAAATGCAAAATGACGAGAAACAATCAAATTGCAAGCAAGAATTAGAAAGATATGAGGAAGAAATGAATGTGAAGGCAAAACAATAAATGGAATGATGAAGTAGTTTCCTCGAAACAAAGCAATTTCCTAGGCATTTTTTCTGTGTAGCAATTTTATTTATAGGTTTCTGCTTAATTTAATGGAAGTTCCCAAAATCAAACCAGCCGCCTTGTATTAGCAAAACTAAAATGAAACAGCAGCAGCACACATTAACTAAATTACTTGGAAAAGTTCAAATATAACTAAGATGACGTCATATATTTATGTTAACCCCATGAGCGTGAAGTAATTTAGAAATTGTATGCGTTATTGTAAAGCTATATTTTTGGGTGGTAGGTTTGTAAATGTTAAAATGCTAAGATTCTGTGTGTGAGAGAGAGAATTTAGTATTAAAATTTTAGGAATTTGTCATTCCCTACTCTCTTTGCATTTAAGAGCAAGCATAGCATTTTTTGGATTTACCCCATTTCTACTTGACTTTTTGCTGTATGTCATGGATAGCAATTAAATCTATTAATTACACAATCACTATCATTTATTTTCTTCGTTTTTTAAATAAGCTATTTTGTTTTGTTGTTATACTCTTTTTCGTTTCTTATTGCTATTCAAATATTCCTTTATTATTTTTCATTTTTCTTGTGCATATTGGTTTTATTACAAATGAATTTATTATTTACATATATTTAATTTTGTGTACTTTAACTTATTTGTTAAAAATAAGAGTGCGTATTAAAATAAATATAGACAGAAAAATAAAAACAAAACTCCAATGCCGCCTTTAAGATTGTTTTCTTACGCGAATCGAAATAATGACGATGCAATAATACACTCCTTTCTTTGCAATGTAAGATTCCAAATGTAAGACTTTAATTATTTTCTTTGATTTAGCTATATGTTTTAGCAGCAATATATTATATATTTATAAATTTATGTGCTCCTTGCCAAAAACTTACACCTCCCCCCACCACAATCCTAACAGTAGAAATATTTAAATAATCATCGAAAAAAATAAAACAAATGTTGAGTTCGTTTTTATTGCTCTGTTATCCTTCAGCGATTATCAAATCGATTTGAAAAAGAAAGAAAATACACAAAACAAAAAAGTCGAATATGGTTATAACAAACTAGAATTTGAGGTATAGAGACTGGGCTTTACTTGGTTAGGATACAAATTGGTAATTTACTGAACACAAATTTTGTATTAGTCCACCTCTTTTGTTATAAACACTTTCGTCTTTTTTCCTCCACTATCAACAACTATATATTTAAACAACACCATCAAAAACACAGTAAGCAAAGTTTTATTAAATAAACTCTGTAATAACATAACAATAATATTAATAATGAAATTTAAATAATTTAATTATTAAAATAAATAATAAATCAATTTTATTTAATTTATACAAACAAGAGAATTATAATAAAAAGTAAAACAACTGAATGAAAAAAATAAAATAAAACAATAAACAAAATACATCTGATTATTATTTGTTGTCGTTGTTATTATTGTCTGTCTTTTATTTTCCCATTAGCATTTTAGCTATTTAACATAATAATCATTGCGCAATTAATATTCAATGCTAAATGTAATATTTAATTGCAGCCAACAACAAAAACAGTTGTCGACCAACACAAAAAAAAAACAACTGGATTTTTCTCTAACCAATCAACCAAACAAAGGAAACCGGATATACAATGCATTATTATTTAATTCGATATTTATAATTTGTTTGTGATTATTGCGGGAATGGGAAGCGGCTTGTGTCAGTCTTTGGAATTTATAGAAATGTATTATGGATAAAAGTTCCGCTCTCGATAAATAGCTAGCTTAAACGTTACCTTGACAATGCTGTGGACGAGTCAATAGGTTTTAATAAAGGTGTATTTTTTCAAATAGTCCCCATACATACGTCTCGTTTCATTTTCGATATGTGGAAATTTTACCAAGGAGTAAATCATCAAACCAAAGGCTTTGGCACAGGCTCATCATTCTGTAGAAATGAAGCCTGATGACAGATACAGATAACGTGTGATTCTAGTATCAAATCGTAGCGGTGAAGAAGATACCCCAGAATCAATAAGAGATGAGGGTATATATTCTAGATTCAGAATAGTTATTAATCGGATGAAAAATAATAAAAGAGCAGGTGTCGATGGGTTACCAGCTGAACTATTCAAGACCGGTGGTCACATGTTGATCAGGTGTATACTCCAACTGATTAGTACAATTTGGCTAGAGGAATGTATGCCAAATGATTGGATCCTCAGCATCCTGTGTCTCGTGCACAAAAACAGGAGACAAGACAATAATGAGAGATATGTGACAACTATAGAGGAATTGGTCGCATCGCATATACAATGCTATTCAGCGCGCTGTGTGAACGACTGAAGCCAATGGGCAATCAAATTATTGAACATACCAATGCGTCAAATCCTGGAAAAGTCCCACGAAAAAAACATCGACACATTCCACCAATTCGTTTACTATAAAGCCTGCAAAATTAATACGGCTATGCATAGCTTTAACTGGCACAAGGTCAGTTAAAATCGGAAAGGGCCTTTCGGAGCCCTTTAATACCGAACGAGGATTTATACAATGTGACAGATTGTGACCTTTTTAATACTCTGGTGGAAAAGGTTATACGTGAGACAAAGGTGATCAGAAATTAAACTTTGTTTGGTGTACAAAGTTTAACACATTTTACTCGCCTACGCCAATTACATCGAAATAATTGCGAGCGGTAACAGAAGAGTCTGCAAAAATGGGACTGGCATTTCGAGGTAGTTAAACACTATGGTTTTATTTATGTTTGAGAGAAAATTTCTCCAAAAGATATAGAGGCCGATCTGCGTCGACGGTGAATATCGCCATCAAATGAACCATGAGTTGTACCATCTATTCTTCGACATCGACATTGTCAGAAGTATCGAGCTGCAGCGTCTACGGTGCCTAGGTCATGTGAGAATGGATATAGCTCAAAAGGCATATAAAATCGAGCCAACTGAATAAGGGGAATGTCACGAATTCGATTGAAATATCAAGTGGAAGACAACCTTTCGAATCATGGTCTGTCAAATTAAAAGATCTGTGTATAGGACCGACGCGTCTTGAAATTTTTAACCTTCTCTGGAAGGTCTAGCTTTTTATATAGACGGATCCAAAATGGAAGAATGTACAGGAACTGACGTCTACTGTGAAAGGCTAGGCCTTGAGCTTACCTACAAGTTGGATAGCAACTGCAGTATTTTCTAAGCTGGAATCTTAGCGATTTGGAAGGCAGCATAATTGATAACTAGACCTCGGATTTTTGCATATTTTTTATGCTTTATCCGATTGGACTCAAATTTTGTATTTAGGCGTTTCATGCTTTAATTGATCGATATTTGGGGTCATGTCAAAAATATGCAAAAAATATGCAAAAAATATGCAAAATATATGCAAAAAATATGCAAAATATGCAAAAAATATGCAAAATATGCAAAAAATATGCAAAATATGCAAAAAATATGCAAAATATGAAAAAAATATGCAAAATATGCAAAAAATATGCACGGTATGCTAGGTCGATATGCGATAAATATATGCAAAAAATATACAAAATATGCATTGTCGATATGCAAAATATGCAAAAATATGCAATATAAGCAAAAATATGCAAAATATGCAAAAATATGCAAAATATGCAAAAATATGCAAAATATGCAAAATATATGCAAAATATGCAAAAATATGCAAAAATATGCAAAATATGCAAAAATATGCAAAATATGCAAAAATATGCAAAATATGCAAAAATATGCAAAATATATGCAAACATATGCAAAATATGCAAAAATATGCAAAATATATGCAAAATATGCAAACATATGCAAAATATGCAAAAATATGCAAAATATGCAAAATATATGCAAAATATGCAAACATATGCAAAATATGCAAAAATATGCAAAATATATGCAAAATATGCAAACATATGCAAAATATGCAAAAATATGCAAAATATGCAAAATATATGCAAAATATGCAAAATATGCAAAAATATGCAAAATATATGCAAAATATGCAAACATATGCAAAATATGCAAAAATATGCAAAATATGCAAAATATATGCAAAATATGCAAACATATGCAAAATATGCAAAATATGCAAACATATGCAAAATATGCAAAAATATGCAAAATATGCAAAATATATGCAAAATATGCAAACATATGCAAAATATGCAAAATATGCAAAAAATATGCACGGTATGCTAGGTCGATATGCGATAAATATATGCAAAAAATATACAAAATATGCATTGTCGATATGCAAAATATGCAAAAATATGCAAAATATGCAAAAATATGCAAAATATGCAAACATATGCAAAATATGCAAAAATATGCAAAATATGCAAAAATATGCAAAATATATGCAAAATATGCAAACATATGCAAAATATGCAAAAATATGCAAAATATGCAAAATATATGCACGGTATGCTAGGTCGCAATATTAAAGATAGAACTTTGAAATTTTGCACATATATTATTATTACTCCTAGGATGTTTGGTATTGGAAATGGGATATATCGGTCCACGTTTTAGTATATCGCTATATAATAGTTATTTATGTTTGCATGTTTTATACATATATTTAGCAAATTTTTCATAATGCCCCAAAAATCTAACAGTTGAACCATGAAACGCATACATACACAATTAGATTTCTATAGGTTAAAAATAAAGAAAGCACACAAATTCGAAAACTAACCTGAAATTTTTTTTTTTTTTTTTTTTTGATTAAAATTATTGGATATGTGAAATATGTTGCTCATATTTGCACATATTTTGCATATTTTTGCCTATA